GTCCGGTTCGCTCATCCTTCTTATTGGAATGAACTAAGCACTTGGAGTAGATTTATCCAGGCTCATAGGGGGACGCCTAGGGGAGTAAATCATAAGTCAATCTAGTCATAAAATGATGTCACAATTGCATCCACATTCGGATCAGAGAGGTCACGATAAGCCTAGTCTTATATTCAGGCGATTAGCATAGAGGATCAGAGTCGTTCACAAGGATGGTTACCGTGACAACCGAGTGTCACGTATCAAGGACAATCACTGTGAAAATTCTATCATCATCAGTTCGGAACAGTACGACAGCGTTTAGCTAAATTTCAACCACTCACTTTGGCCGTGCAACTGCACGCGTACATTTGTGGCAGAATTTCTTCCACATATGGGAGGATATCAAGAAGATCAAATATTTGTTGAGCCAGTACGACAGCGTTTAGCTAAATTTCAAAATTCCACTTTGGTCGTGCAACTGCACGCGTACATTTGTGGCAGAATTTCTTCCACATATGGGAGGATATCAAGAAGATCAAATATAAGTTTGTTGAGCAAGGTGAGCCTGCTGTTAGCTTGCTGGAAGCAAATGGGTGCGCGCCCTTCTCAGTTGCATCAGGTCATCTGAGTCCACACACTGGTTCACTATCTAGTTGGACGCTTTTGATCCATTCCCGAAAATCGTCCGTGAACTATTCGGTATGGATTTCAAATCAACCTCCGAGTAATTCCGATAGTTCGAAATGCAACTGCTAATATCCTTCCGAAAATGCGGCTGGCTTCTCGTATACGTTTCGAGGAACGTACAAGAATGTGACATGCTGGGTTCGATGACTTACACGCGTCAGCGTGGCGAATCTTCTGGTTTGCGGACAAATTTAGGAGAGACGCAACCGTTTCGGCTTCAGTTTTCGGCCTAATTGGCTTGCACAAGCTGCGAGAATTTTTGTTCCCGTCCTAATGGCTCCGAACCTCAATCAGGTGGTCGCTCTGAGTAAACGGTTTTTCAAGCGTAGAACTCGATGCAACTCAAGCATTACGCATGGGTCTGTTCCTATTGTCCCCTTGCACGTACAGCATCTCTGAAAACAGGACTTGGCGGGTAGTAGATGTGTAACGCAAGGCCCACCCATTTTTGCCCGCAGTGCTGGTAACATAACCTGGGGAGAGTACCTCGAATTCCCGTCACCTGATCACCTAAAGGGAATCCGGTTCCAGGCGATCCGAGCGGTACTGCCTAGAAATTGGTATTGTAAAACATAAGATGACCCACATCGTCCTCCGGAAGTGGACGACTCTAATTGCCGTGCAACAATACAGCGTTTAACAAAGTCAGAAAAACGCGTGCCTTCCGAACTTGTAAGATACCTTGCGAAGTACCGTAGAATCAGCTCTCCAGGCAATACATTCAATGAAGATTGTGTATCTACTGAGGAGTGAATTAGTCACACAATACGTTCAAGCGCATTGGTTGTTGCACGTTCACGAGTACTCAGTGAAGCGGGTGAGACGATGGGTCTGATGTTTTGTAGTCTGGATTCCGGGTCGGTTCGCAAAATACCTC